TAATTACCCACCCCCGCTACATAATATAGATACAAGATGCAACTTCATTAGACAGCCTCCTGTGTAAGCATTTTAATGCTCTGGTTTCAAAGAATGGCCTCACTACAAGCCAGGAATGTAAAAATACAGATGCTCTCAATCAAATGTTTCAAATGTATACAAAGCCACCTGGACTACACACCTGATCTGCTGTGGAACCAATTGACCGGGCTTTCTTTAAAGGACCTGGTGGACCTTCTGTGAACTGCCTGGATGAACGCTAAAAGAAAGCATGCTTGTTAAATGGGATAGTTGCCAGAAACTCAGCCCACTGTCACATATATACCCTGAAGGGCTGGATTAGCTTTGACTTCAGCGTTTGCAGATTTTGTTCTACCCAGGGTAAGTCAACTTGTGCCTTAAAGCAACTAAATGACTAGTAGGAATGATGCAGTATTCAAGGCTTTGTGCTGGCCAACTCAGTTCTGTGGATGCAGGTAATTCACCTTTCCGAATGGAGTACTGCTATTGAAAATCTGGGCACAAACAGCAAATCTTCTCCTAAGACAACTGAGAGTATGGCTCTTCTTCCCTCACCATCCACCAGAAACACTGACAGCAGTGGTGGTATGAGCTCATTTTTATGACTAACAACTTTGATTTTCCCCTAAACACAGATTACCCAACAGACAAAGATCCAGTAAGAAGTTTCATTCAAGTAACTCCCACCTAGAACTCGTAGGGCAAATCAGTTTCAGACCCCACCCCCACAAATCTGCATTTTTCCGCAATTAAAAAAATGCTACTGTATGTGCGCGTGCGCGCACACACACACACACACACAGTATCAGTTGAAGACAACAGTGTATTGATTTTTTACAATTTTAAAAGCAATTTGGAAGCCTACCAATGCCTCAATCACTATAAAAAAAACAAAAACTCCTATAAATGTACCTATACATTTTGGCATTTGATCCTGAAGTTATCATGGACAAATCAGAGCTCCCCCTGCCCCCTTCGCTCACTAGGACGTGCGTCTAGTTGCAGCTGTCATTGCCCCCAGCCCCCTGCTTTGTGGCACTGAGCAGCCTTGATATGTGGGTGCCCTGCCCATGCCATTCCCCTCCCGCCCCACCCACAACTCCCTGGGCCCTGCCAGTGCCCCTCACTACCCACAGCCCCCCATGGCCCCAAAGCTGCCAGAGGGGGCCCCCAGCTGCCAGGGCTATGGGGCCAGGTACCCAGGTCTGCAGCCCCCTCCCCCATGGGCAGCACAGCCAGAGTGGACCTGG